GCGTCGGAGGTAGTGGGACATGGTCCCGGGCAAAAGTTGTTTGTACTATCATTCTACATAACACATATTTTTTTCAGATTTTTCTGAGACCTTTTTTTTTTTTTTTTTTAATATTCTTTTGTTCACGTTCGGAGGGTTTAGACGCTTGTTCGCGTTTGGTCGTGAACGTTCGGGTTCGGTCACCAAACGCGTCAGCATCTCCCACCACATTCTTTCGGGTGAACAGTGCTACAGGACCAAGATGGCTGGCGGCGCCAGCCAAAAGATAGAAAAACATTGCACTGGCACTTTGGCAAAGCTTGACCCACAGATCTTTTCCTCCTCGGCAAAAGAGGCCTGGAGATAGTGGTGGTTAAAAAAATAAAAACAAAACTATGCATGGGTCCTAGGGACCATCTCACGCAAATGTGTACATGTCATGCATCAACTTCACACGCAGTGATCAATAGTATCAATCATAGACAAAGGTAGAGAAGAAGAGGACCGAGTTTCACAACTTATATTATCAGAAATATGAATACAAAGTGTTTCAAAGTTCCCCTGAGTCCAGCGCTCATCAGCCCAACACCAATCTCTTATCAACTCATCAATATGGCTTCCAATGTATCAGCGCTACATCTGCAGACAATCTCCAAGTCGTCAATGTGGTCACTACTTCTTCAGCGCCACCTCTGCAGGTCACATCTAACCCAGGTAAGTATCTTCCATAGCCGAACCTTGAATGAACACTTTCAGCCTCAGTCCCTTCCTCCTACGATGCATACACACTCTTCACTCATGAGGATCTACTCTGGATACTACTCATAGCTACATACTAACCCACTACTACTAATGCTAACTTGCTGGGCAGCTTTGGCTGCATCACTTCCAGCATACAGGCTTCTCCCTGTCTCTTATACACATCTAGATGTGTATAAGAGACAGCACCAGCACTTCCACGCATAGAATGCCAGTGGAGATCTGGCAAGGAATGAGGCTGGCTGCCTCTTTTATACTCCTTGCTGGGTCTGCATTGGCTCAAACCAGCCTTCCTTTTGTCCCAGACCCTGCATTGCATGTGTCCCAGTAGAGTCCCAATGAAGTTCAACTGCTGCTGAGGCCTCCCGGCCTGAATTTGGACTTGAAGGTCTGGATCTGGACTGACCCCTAGACTTAGACCAGAACTGGGACTGTGCCTATTGACTTTATTTTCGGACAGGCACAACTCTCAACGAACAGACACATTTACTGCTTGAACAGACACTTTACTTTGCACGAACAGGTACACTGCCTGCACGTACAGACACACTCTTACCCAAACAGACATGACATACACATCTCCTGGTGAACAGGTAAGTCTTTTGACAATGCCCTTTGCCTTAGCTTTAGATATGCCTGTTGACAGAGAACTTGACCTTTGACCTGCTTTCACGTTTCTGAGCTCTGGCGAGATACCTTTTCACAATGCTTTACTTTTTCAAGGCCCGTGCTGCTTTATTTTTACAAGGCCTGAGGCCTATATCGGGTAAAGGCCCTTTTAACTAGAGCAATATCCAGTATATTGTTGTACCTCCAGCTCAGGCTGTTAAGCCCCTGCAAGAGTAAAGAATAACACAGAAAGAACATTGCTTTGTTCTATTGCCAGGACCATCACCTTGGTTTGCCAGGGCCAGTAATGCAACAGAGAAGTTTTTTTTTTTTTTTTTAATTTATAAAGGATGATAGCCCGTAATATTACTGTATCCATCAGTATTTAAACTTTAAACTCTTAAACCACGAGTGCGAGGAAAATGAGAGATAGCAAGGTGACAGAATCCAGATACCACAATCACATTGAAAGCAAGAAAGTCCCACAGTGTCCAGATAAGCAGCATTGCACCAATCTTACACCAATGGAGAATCGAAACACTGAAACCGAATGTCAATGAGAGCTTTACTCTCGTCCCCACCAACATACGTATCCAGGCCCTCTCTCCCTACTTGCCGCTCAGCGCCCAGGCTACTCCCTACACAGCTACTTCCTGCCTACAAATTGACAGGAAGTACTTGAAGATGTCGACCAATGCAGACCATCGCCAATACCAGGTATGCGCCCTCACATCATCATCCTCATCTCTTTCACTCTCTCCCTATCCTTGTCTTCCTCCCACGTCCTCTCCCTTATGCATGAAGACCACCACCACCTCCACTGGCTATCCAAGCCAAGCCCAGGCTATGTAGGGCTGGCTATGGTGCTGCCCTCAGCAGCGCCCTACCTTCTTCCAGTGCCCGCGCGCACTGCCTGGCAACTAGCACTAGCGCACTGCGCACAGCCTGTGAGTGCATGCTCAAGCAGCGCTGCCGCATGCACTGCCTAGTGCCCGAATGCCTCCACCAGTGGCGAGCTCTTTCCTTTATGGAAAGTGCTCGCCCAGTCTTCTCCCTGGCTGGGCCTCTTGTATTTCCAGTAGCTTCCAATCGGGCCAAAGTGTCTGCACCCAGGCCCATTTAGACAGTGGCCTGGGACCGAATTGGTTGAGCCTGCCCAACCACCTAGGAGTAAACGTGAGGTTCTCCCTGCTCCGCCTGTGCTGCTGGAAGAGCCTAGAAGGCTCAAGAATTATTTCTGATTCTCACGAGTATGGAGGATGTAACCAACTGGCGCATGAGAACTGTCTGGCGCCCACCAAACTTTGCCAAAATTGACGAACTCAGGCCATATTGAAATTCAGGGGCTCGCCTTCACTTAGGGTGGGCTCATGCTTGCTGAAAGGGCCCTACAGGGGCATGCCAAGGAGCCAACTCGTAACAAGGCCTTGTCAAAGATCCATGCCCACATGGGGTTTACAGCAGGCTCTGCTTGGCCCCCGCAGCCTGGTCTCATTGTCCTATAAACAGGCATTGGCACATATTTGCAGGCCCGCCTTCACTTAGGGCAGGCACGACACTTTCAGACACTGCCGAGGGAATAAATCCTTGCACGAGAACCGCAGAACCTTGAAAAAAAACAAAACTGGCCCTCGCCTGCCCAGCGTGAAACGCCATGCCTACCAGGTCACAGCAACTTCGATCGACATATGCATTCGGTTAGGTGCAGATACTCTTTTCCTGGGCGACTTTTTTTTTCTTTTCGTTTGACTTTTCCCAGATACCTCGGAACCTATCCCACATCCCTGATTTTTCCCCGTAATTTTCCGTCGGTGTAAATGGGAGTCCAAAGTTGGGGTCCTTGCAATTTTGTGCACAAATACGACAGTGAGTTTCTGAGGAGGGAGGTTGGTACTGGTGTCTTGACAAGCTAAAGGGTCTAAAGACTCTAAAAGCACCAGTACATGGGCACCTGGGCCGCGAGCCTGACACCTCAAATTCTGGAGGCGCGAAACGAACACGCCACCGCCGATCGAATTTATCAACAGTGGGCCCAGCGTTTGACGTTTCGGCCTCGTTTTCTTGTGGCGACAAGTTTTGGACCGCAAGGCTGGGGCCCTGTACTTGTGGTTTAAGTTTTGTTAACCTGTTTATCAACAGTTATGCTCCCCACGAAAAAAAAAAAAAAAAAAAACCCTGTTTATCAACAGTTATCGCTTCAGTTACTGTGTGTACCTGCTTGAGACTGGTCTCCTTTTGTGTACCTGCCCGAGACCGGTCTCGTTTTGTGTACCTGCTTGAGACCGGTCCTTTTGTGTACCAGTCAGCGACCCAAGCCGGTACAGAAAAACGACCGGTCTCAATTTAGCTGGGTGTGGCTTTTTGAAATTCAGATCCGCTTTCCCCGATTGGTCACTATGTATGTGTTTGAGAATTCGACAGCGAGAAAAGAAAAAAACGAATTCCACAGCAAAGGTGCAGGCCCTCATGGCCTGTCCGATCCAGGCGAAAGAATTTATGAGGTGGGGAGTCTGGCTGGGGCGGCACGTCTGTTAGACTGATAAGTACTTTACGCTGCCTCGTGGCTCTTTTTTTTTTCTCTTCTCCGATAGACTGATAACAGTGATAAGTCTTTCATTTGTTGATAAAGTGGTGAACTTCTCCTTTCTTTGAACTTGCATTGGACTTTGTGTCTATATTCGTTTCCGCCTAGATGTCAAGACACCATAGTGCCGGGCCCCTTGTAGTCGGGGAACGCAATTTCTTCTCTTTTTTTTTTTTTTTTTTTTTTTTTTCAGCTTTCGCTGTTATGTTGTTAGCTAAGAGAGAGTCCCGGTTCTCTGTTTCCTTCCAGACCCGGCCAAACTTGGAACTAGAGCTCAAGCAGTCAAGATCGTGGGACGGGATCTGGGTAAACGTTTGCGTTCTGATTCCACATGGACCACGAGGAATTTTGTCTAATTGAGGAGCAAATCGGGAACACGGTATTTCTGAGGGATAGAAACGCAAATCCCCGCCTCCCGAACGACCGTGCGGGCAGGGTTTCCCCGCACACTTTGCCGGCCACCATCTCGGCATCGGACTTGAACCACTGACCCCACTGTATGCTACTGTGTTCATCCGAATACAAAGCCTGGTCATTATCGCTGTATCTAGACAGAAAGTTGCCCCAAGTACAGCTATTATGACCTTGCGTTCTATTCGGATGAAGACAGTAGTCAGACCTGCTGGAGTAGCAGAATCCTGCTCTGTGTTAGCATCCAATATTCCAAGTGCATACCGCTTCCGTGCTGGTACAGCACAATGATTGACTATGCAGACCTATCTTCTTCTCCTTGCCCATCCTCCAGGTTCGGTGGCTTGTCTTTAGATACAGAAGGATGTGCACCTACAGAACACATCCTGTTCAAGTGGAGTCGTGTGACTAGCGGAGACATGATGCTCAATCAACACATTTGTGACGACATCTAGCAGGGTGCCTTCTTTCCCTCTCAGTCTTTCGAAACAGGGTAACCTTACTTCGTTTTTTCAACTTTTGTTTTTTTTAATGAAAATTTGTTTAATTCCGACCATTTCTCGATTTATGCGTGTCATCTTTGCGCAGGGGCCATGCTAATCTTCTCTCTCTGTATCGTTCCAATTTTAAGGGATGCCCCGAAGGACAAAGGGTAACCTTGCTATCTTTGTGTGCAGCAGAATTAGAGTTTGTGATCATCATCAGTCCTAGCCTCTTGGTAAATGGTAAATACTAAATGCCAGCAGCAACTATGCAGGTACATCTGTCAGAGTTGTGGATTTTTGACTGCTATGCATTTGTTTATCCTGGGTTTCGGTGAGAAGGAAAGACACTGGAGCAAGTCCACTTGCATCCAATATGCGGTGTACGTATGCCATGTCACGGAAGCTATCTGTGGCTATGCCCGATCCCAGGGGCGGTGAAAAAGAAAAACGTTAAATTTGTCAGCGGTAACTGGGAGTTTTTCTCGTCTTGGCCTGAGCAGCACGACAGAAAGATCGAGCGTCCGAGTGCGTTTGCCGTCGAGTGGGGTGTTCCTAATGCTACGACTCCTACGAGGGTAAAGTCTGAGGAGGCCTTTTTTTTTTTTTTTTTTTTTTTTTTTTTCTTTTTTTTTTTAACACGAGAGCTCCAACCTATTGGTGGGGAGCAGCACCTGCTGGAAATCGGGTCCATCCAGCCTTGCATGTTGTTTTGAGCTTTGAAAAGATCATCAATCATTGTATCCGGTGATATGATATATCAACGCTTTAAGTGTACCCACCTTTATGCTGTTGCTGTTGCTGTTGGTGCTCTGTTGTCCCTCTCTGGTTTGCACTTTGCCAGAACATTGATGATGCACATTATGCGGAGCTCCAGAAGAAGCTTAAGTTACTTATTCAGGGATGCAGGTGAGACTGTTAGTCAGTGCAATGAAAGCCCACAACGGTGGTCAAGGTAGTTAGGGCCAGGCCTCCATATTCATGCTAAGAAAGCCCAGCCACATGCAGTGGGTGCCTCCTAACCAGTGCAGTTTCAGGCGGTCGGCCTGATACTGCTTCGGTTGGACCCATCGTCTGGGTAGTCCCCTGAACGCAGGGTCTACATGTCTGTTCAGTCCTGCATTGATGCGTTGAGGACTTTTGCTTCATTTGGCATTCAACGGGTCCATCGATCCGGACGCTCGATGTATTCTGAAAGATAATAAGATACTGATAAGTCTGCCGCAAGGGCTCTTTGAGTGTCAGGGTTCATTTCTCTGTTCCTTTTTAAATTTTAATTTAGTTGCCTCCATGTGGTTTTGTCGGGCAGGATTTGATCTCTTGATCGGTTTATTAGCAGTTACATGTGTGTGTCAGGGAGGCACGTCCAGGTTGCAGGTCGGGTGTTTTATGTTGCACACACAACTGTATTTTTCTGACATGCTGCATTCTCGACAGTTCTCTTTTTGCTGTTCTTAACTTCTTGCCGTATTGTGTGTGTGTGTTTTTTTTTAGAATTATCCGATTCCGTTTATCTAGTTCCATCGAGACTCGAACTCTGGTCCGTATTTCAACAGTTCACGGGTGTCCTGAGCTAGGCCTGTTGGGTATCCTATTGTTTGTGATGGTAATTGTCAGCCTGTGTAGCACACCGAACACGTTCGGGTGTTCGGCCGAAAGCCTCCTGAACGTATTAAGTTGAACATATGGTTATTTAGTTTTTCGAGTTTGGCTAAGAGTTTGAACATGCCTCCCAGGCAAAAATTGTTTGTAGTATTATTTTACATAATATTATTAATATATATATTTTTTCAGATTTTTCTGATATTGTTTTTTTTTTTTTAAATATTATTGCGAGGCTACGCCTGCTTAGCCCTACGGGGCCCTATCTGCAACAAGGTCGGCCGCCCTAAGTGAAGGCAGGCACGACAGGCCCTTCGGGCCTCATTTTTCAGGGTACCCCGCAACGAGGAAATTCAGACAGTTGCGTTGCGCCAGTTGGTTGAATGAATCCAGGCCCTGGGCCGCCTGTGTAAATGAATGTGAAGCAGGCCCTGGGCTGGATACGGGTACTGGGCCAAACACAGGCCGAAAGCAGTTGGGCGCATGCAACCACTCCAGGCCCAAGGCCTGCTCTCTTCGTGACTGGGCCTGTGCCTACCGGGGCCTACCGGAAGCTTCCTGGACTGGACGCAGGCAGGCCACTTCGATATAGGGAAGGGCCTGCCTCCTCATTSGGCATKCGGGTGCTGGCTGCATGCTGCGTGAGCGCTGCTGCGCAATCCGCTGGCTGGCTGGCACTCACGCTCTCACGGGCGAGTAGGAGGGAGCACGCAGCCATAGCCAAGCTGCGCTGCTGTATGCTAGGTGAAGTGCAGGGTGGTCCTTGGGGTGCTAGTGGCATCTGTGCGGTGTGGATCGGGGTTGTGAGTGTTACGAGAGACATACCTGGTGCTGAAGCGTGCGACATTGGTCGCCATATGCTCGTACTTCGGGAACGCTGTTGATGTCATCATTCTGCTTYGTAGTATAGGCTAGATAGGATCTGCCACCTGTAGTCTGGGCGCCGAGCGCCAATAGGATATCAACTCTGGTTCGTAGTTGATGATGATGGGACTACTTCAGCATTGTCAATTTTGAACTCTTGGTGTGTTCTTATTTGGTGTATCTCGTGATGCCAGTCTGCTGTGGTTCGAGGTGAAAACTATCTGGGCTCATATGTATGATACGGTTTGATTGCTGAAGTTCGCTAATGCTCATCTTCCTTGCATTATTATGTTCGCATTCGGAGGGTTTTGGCGCTCGTTTGCGTTCGGTCGCGAACGTTCGGGTTCGGTCGCCGAACTTGAACACGATTCTACAGAGCTGTCAGCTTTGACTTTGATCTGTTCCAACTGCTGGTTTTGTCTCTGATCCTGGTTTTGTTTTGTGGCTATTGTGCAAGCCTTCAGGAACAAGGCTAAAACCAAGTGGTACGAGTGGGAAGCAGTATTCTGGGAGGCCAACTGCCGCTGCCTGGGCTGGAGGTTTTCTTATCCTGGTTTTGTTGTTGATCGTGGTTTGGTTTCTGATCCTGGTTTTGTTTCTGATCCTGGTTTTGTTTTGTGGCTATGGTGCAAACCTTCAGGAACAAGGCTAAAACCAAGTGGTACGAGTGGGAAGCAGCATTCCGGGAGGCCAACTGCCCTTGGCCTGCAGTCAAGGAGGAGCTCATGGCAAGATTCCTACTGTTCCTTTCTCTTCCCCCCTCCAACCCACCTCAACTGTTCCTTTCTCTTCCCCCCTCCAACCCACCCCTACTGTTCCTTTCTCTTCACCCCTCCAACCCAACCCTACTGTTCCTTTCTCTTCCCCCCGCGAACCCACCCCTATTGTTCCTTTCCCTTCCACCAGGGTGGATATCCACAGTGAAGGACACTGGCAGCCAGGCAGGGGTGGGGTGGATATTACAACCGGTGTCGATCCACTTTTGTACACCGTGCCATAGCTCTAATGGTTAAGAAACTCGGCTCTTGAGGCTGAGGGCGCTGGTTCGTGCATGGAGGAGGTCCGACTGTCCGAGGCTGATAAAAGTACAGACTGTCGCAGCAGAGCAATTTTCCCAAAGTGAAGGAGTAAGGCTGATGAAAGTACAGACTGTTGCAGCAGAGCAATTTTCCCAAAGTGAAAGAGTATGGCGCAATGGCTGGTTCTCGACCAGGTTCTGAAATCCAGACTCGCAGCTCGCTCTGTTTACTTGTTCGAGCCACATTTCTTCTTAGAAGCTCGCTCGAGCAGAAAGGTCTGGCCTACACCAATAGCAGGCCGGATTCCACAATGAAACAGTTCTGTTTCCAAATGGATTAGTCTTTTGTGTTCTTTCCTGTCCTGTTTCTGATGACTTTTTCCGCTCGCTGGAAGGTGGCAGTAGGCTGTGGCACCAGAGCATTTTTTGCAAAGTGAAAAAGTATGTTATATTGTTATGACCTGTCATCACACGGACTGAAACAGACAGCCGATTTCTGAGTCTTGCCGTGGAATGCATGCCATACTAAGTTCCCCCGCCTGCTAAGTCTGCTTGTGTGTGTGTGTGCTGGACTGCATGTCTGTCTGAATGCTGGCTGACCTGTGTGAGTGTGCTGCGTGCCTGTCTAAGTGACTTGAGTGTGTGTGTGGCCCCGTCGGGGTCGTGGATGTGGGGGCAGGACCGGTAGGGCCGGTACTTACC